TGGGCTTTACAAACGTTTCAGAACGCTGGGTTAATTACCTGTCTCCCTGACCCTGGAGAATAAATTAAATAGAAATCCTACTCAAGACTAGAATAATTTGGCAAGTGTTGGCTCCGTCTGGATTTGCTTTGAAGATAATGTCTGAATATTTTTATTAATATAATATATATCGTTAAGCTTTGTATCTTCTCTCTTTACTGGTGAGTGGCGTTGTACCATGCATCCAGTCCTTGTTATTCATGTTTTGGGTTTTTTGTAAAGCGCTATTAAATATGTCTGTCTGTGACATTGTCGCGCTGTCAGTCAGGCTTTACTAACGAGGAAAGATCCAAACTTATGACAACGCCGTGGTGGTGGACTGTGTGGTTGCCTCATGTCGCGCTGGCGTGGAGTCGTGATGCATCAAGCAGTGTTTATCACGGTCTATGACCCATTAGTCATATTTGCCAGTAGACTACACTGTGTTGCCAGGAATGAACAGGTCTTTGTTTATAATTTAATCTATCGAGTTATTATCAGTTTTAGTCAATGTTTACAGTTAGAGTTGTAAAGTCTGTGTGGTTGTGTTGTTTTCGTTGCTGCTGCCGACTGCTGATATAAATCTGAAGGTTAAGGTTTCATATATTCCATGCACCATACGTGTATATTTCATATATTCCATGCACCATACGTGTATATTTCATATATCCCATGCACCATACGTGTATATTACATATATTCCATGCACCATACGTGTATATTATATATATTCCATGCACCATACGTATTTTCATATATTCCATACACCATACGTGTATATTACATATATTCCATGCACCATACGTGTATATTACATATACTCCAGACACCATACGTGTACATAACATATATTCCACACACTATACGTGTATATTACATATATTCCATGCACCATACGTGTATATTACATATACTCCTGACACCATACATGTATATTACATATACTCCACACACCATACGTGTATATTACATATACTCCACACACCATACGTGTATATTACATATACTCCACACACCATACGTGTATATTACATATACTCCACACACCATACGTGTATATTACATATGCTCCACACACCTTACGTGTATATTACATATACCTCACACACCCGTGTATATTACATGTACTCCACATTACCATATATATTACATATACTCCACACACGTGTATATTACCATACGTGTATATTACATATACTCCACACACCATACGTGTATATTACATATACTCCACACACCATACGTGTATATTACATATACTCCACACACCATACGTTTACCATACGTGTATATTACATATACTCCACACACCATACGTGTATATTACACACACCACATACATACTCCACACACCATACGTGTATATTACATATACTCCACACACCATACGTGTATATTACATATACTCCACACACCATACGTGTATATTACATATACTCCACACACCATACGTGTATATTACATATACTCCACACTACCATACGTGTATATTACATATACTCCACACACCATACGTGTATATTACATGTACTCCACACACCATACGTGTATATTACATATACTCCATGCACCATACGTGTATATTACATATACTCCACACACCATACGTGTATATTACATATACCCCATGCTCCATACGTGTATATTACATATACTCCATGCTCCTTACGTGTATATTACATATACTCCATGCTCCTTACGAGTATATTACATATACTCCACACACCATACGTGTACATGACATATATTCCACACACTGTACATGTATATGACATATACTCCACAAACTATACAAGTATATTACAAGAGAGTTGTGCAGGGTGGTGCAGCCCTGTATGTGAGGAAAATCCGGAAGTACTTTTCATCAAAACCAATGTCCATGTGACTATGGGGAGTCGGTGCACACCTTTGTATATTAGATTTCGTGTATAGACATGGTCTATCTCTAACTGTTCATGTAGACGGATGTATGTGCTGTTATTCAGGGTTTGGGTTTTTTGTTGTATACTTGTATTCATGACTATACAGTTCTATTCACGAGTGCGATGTTTTGTTGGGGTGAGACTGAGTAAGGGTGTGTGTCAGTATGTGTGCGTGTTTCTATTGCTAGGTGTGTCACATGCATCGTTGTGCCTATCTCTTGCGCCAACGTCCTCGACACACCCTGCATTTAACCCCGGGTGCCTGAAAACAAGTACTGAAGCGCCTAGGTCACTGGGCTGTCTGTGGTCTGCCGATCATTCGGCTGATTCAAATATTTGTCCTTGATCTGTCTGTTGTCTGTCGATCCTTGGGGTAGTACAAATAGCTTCCTTCGCCTGGCCTGTCTGGGGTGTGTAGATCCATAGGTTAGCCAAACTGTCAAGATATTGGACCTGCACCTGGAGTCCAAACATCCTTGAAGTGTCTCTGGTTTCTACATCCTGGAACCCATGAAGATCCGGGTTAGAATTGATCTTCAGTAACCCATGCTTGTAAGAGGCAACTAACGGGTCTTCGAATCCAAGTTGCGAAGATCGATGCTCATGCTGCTGATCACTGGGTTGTCTGGTCGAGACTCAATTATTTACAGACCTCTGCCATATAGCTGGAATATTGCTGAGTGCAGCGGATGTTTAAATCCTGGAACTGACTGGAGTCCCATGATCCTGAAACTGTGGCGGGTTTCAAGAACCTGAAACTGTCATGGGTTTAAGGATCCTTCACCTGCCATGGGTCTCAAGATCCTTTAACACGGGTTTCGAGATCCTTTATCTGTCGTGGGTTTAAAAATCCTTCACCTGTCGTGGGTCTCAAGATCCTTCAACTCTCGTAGGTTTAAGGATCCTTCACCTGCCATGGGTCTCAAGATCCTTTAACACGGGTTTCGATATCCTTTATCTGTCGTGGGTTCAAAAATCATTCACCTGTCGTGGGTCTCAAGATCCTTCAACTGTCGTGGGTTTCGAGATCCTTTAACACGGGTTTCGAGATCCTTTATCTGTCGTGGGTTTAAAAATCCTTCACCTGTCGTGGGTCTCAAGATCCTTCAACTATCGTGGGTTTAAAGACCCTTTAACCGTCGTGGGTTTAAAGATCATTTAACTGTCGTGAGTCTCAAGATCCTTCAACCATCGTGGGTTTAAAGATCCTTTAACCGTCGCGGGTTTAAAGATCCTTCTACTGTCGCGGGTTTAAAGATCCTTTCAAGATCAACGTCATTGATCTTCCTAGAAAACAATATTTCCCTTCAAGAAGAACCACTTCTTAATTCCGTGTTCGTCCAAAACGTGCTGGTCAGCGATCCGCACATCCATAGACTGAGTATTCATACCGAACTCGATCACTCCCTCTGGGCCTCTCGGCCGTGTGTACACAAGAGATGGTCAGCGCAGACCTTTCATTCGGCAACCATCGCCACATTCCGTAACACGATACATACATTCAGGCAGGAGTCTTTAGAACTATCACGGTAGTGAGTCATGGTTTCGCTGTAATCAGTTGAATGTGTTCCTTGGCTTTTTCCGGCGTGACTGCACCGTGCCCTTTCACGAGGCAAGTCGAAACCATCTGGACTTCATCACCAGATGCCACTAATGTTCCCTTATGAAATTTAAATCTAAATTTAAATGCTTCTTTTTTTAGGACACTGTCAGCTGAAATTCAAAACAAAGAGCGTTTTTATCTGCAGATAAGACTAGCATCTAGTCTCTAAAATGAACCTATTTTACAGAAAATAACTGTTCATATAATGAAATGAAGCCCACAGACTTTCTTCATTTTCTGTGGAAATCTAGACTTGTCAAATAATCTAGACTTGAATGGGCTTTCTTAGATATATTTGTCTGTTGATATCAGTCACAGAAATGAACTCTCTCCTTCTCTCTCTCTCTCTCTCTCCTCTCTCCCTCCTTATCTCTCTTTCTCTCTCTCTCTTTCTCTCCCTCTCCTCTCTCTTTCTCTCTCTTTCCCTCCTCTCTCTCTCTTCTTTCCCTCTCTCTCTCCCTTTCCTCTCTCTCTCTTTCTCTCTCGTGGAAAGAACGTCTATTTGCTTCATTTTCATTATCATATCACTTACACACACGCGCGCGTACACGCATACACACACATGTAGATAATGGAGGGTGGAGAAGTTAAATCCCGATACATTAAACACATTTACTTGTTGTTCCTATTAAGAAATAATCAATTCCAAAAGGCTATACCTCTATATAACTTCACAACGTTTTGTTTTCACCAAACATCATCACTGCACCTTGAGGATATGTTTTAATTCGAACAAAGCTCATTTATACATATTAGAAAATAATGGAATATAATTAGGTATTAAAGCTATGCCTATGCGTTATATGAACAGCCTCATTACATCCCCTGTAGTAGCAATAAATGACATTCCGTCTCACACACAGAGGCATAACCGGTTTCCATTGAGAACTCGCCTAGTGATCTTCCCAACCCGGTAAGCGCTTTAGGGGATAATCGCCTTCCGTGTGTTACGTAATGTTATCACCCCCGCTCATAAATGCATTACATCACACCTATTTCAAGTCGCCTGGGAATATACTGTTAGAATAGTTGTTAATTACAGGTGTGTGAAGGTGATCGTGCATAATTACATTCGGTCCAGGTGAGTTGTGCTGTGTTTGAGGTAATGGGACCGCTGTTTTGGATTTATGCGAGAACTGAATGCATGAATTATTTATTTATTTTTGGGATATTCTCAAAATTAATAGTCTCCCTTTTTTGCTGATTATCTAGTTGGTTTTATTATATAAATAGGTTAAATATATAGATCTATGTTTTCTCATTATTTGTGCATCAATTTTTAATTCAATAAATATACATGGGTGCGGAAGAAAAGCATTACTGCTCTGGTAAAAAGCCGAAAAGCCAGTCAACTGAAATTCAGTCCAAGCGAGTCATATTTTTAGCATTCTTTGGTTTCAGGAAATACTTGAACGCTAACACGTGACTAGCTGTGAGTTGGGTCATAGTTAAGTCAAAACAGTTCAGTAGGCCAGCGAGGCAGACCGGAGTGCTCTCGCAGCTGAGACACACGTGTGATATTCACGAAGTTGTCGTTACGGGAATATTTATTGTGAATATATTTCAAAAGTGGATGTACTTTTCTATTAAGGTTTGTGAAAACAGCATTGAAAGTCTATATATATATCACATCATCAGCATTTGTTTTCCGTTAGATCTTTTCTTGAAATCTATTTCCTTGTTTTCATTATAATTTCCCGGGGCTGTATATTCAATTTGAATATGTTTGATGATTTTATAACCTTAAGTAGTGATACTTGTTTGGCTTTAAATCCTAAAGAGAAAAATAATGGTATCCCATTATTATTGTAGCGAGCTTGGGTAGAGATAATGTTCAGACATGACTGTGGCTTATGGGTTAATTTACTTTCCAAGCCGATAGGATACTCGGTTTCGAGAATATTCCTCTTGATTTCGCGTATAACACAAACGCGTTTATGCTTGGAATTCGTGATTCACAACCAGGTTGTGAATGTATAGTAAATATTACCTTATTTGGAACCTCAACTATTTTTCAGATACTGACCAATAGAGAGCCTCTTTTCCGGTTTTAGTCAAAACCACGTGACGACTGGAGTCCCACCCTGTGCTTTGGTAAAGCGACAAGATGGCGGATAGCAGGGGATTGACAGCCGAACAGCGAAACGAGTTGTGTGAACTGTTCAGTGGGGTAAGGAGACAAAATACATTTACACGTAGAGCATGTCAAGTGCTTTCGAAATGACCATTTACTATCGACCTGTTATCACCTGTAATTAACATTTCACAGGTGCAAGTGGAGGGGTAGCTATGCACTCACTCCCGATTTTGCGTCCCCTCGATACGCAAGGGTTACAAGTGCCCAAACTCCTTATTTTTGCATATAAGTACCGTTATCACTTGAATATGACTACATTATGACAGATGGGTACCATTGTAGTCCTCAGGCATATAATTAAACAATTATGATGATCAGAAATAAAATGTCACCGAAGTCACTTACCTGTGAAGTTCGGACCGGTTTTGCGACCGGTTTCGCGCACTGGGCCCAGTGTCACCCAATGCCGTAGTGGTGGACGACATATTACAGCCGCCACGCTTTCATTTAGAGGGTGCCATGGCTAATACGGTGTATATATAACTCTAATGTATGTGTGGACAGTTGGAGGAAGATATGACAAAATACTAAATATGATGCATTTGTTACCGCAGTTTTTTTCATCGATTTCACCTTGGAGATAATTAATAATGAATGGTTCGAATGTTGTGTGTTCAATATAGAGTCTAGCCTGATTCTCATTTGGAAACGTGTTGAAATGACTAAAAGTTTAAGGATCCATTTCATCAATATAGCTAATAATGTTATCTTACTTCCTGCTAAGTGTTGAACTGAAATCCAGATTGAAATAAACTGACTAATTTACATGTATGTCAGTCACTTCTGTTATTTGTCCTATATTCAATAAACTTTGTAATTCACAGTATCATTTCACACGGATCAAAGATGTACATAAATCTTTGCATAGATTTAGATTTCTCAATATGTTAAATAAGGGTCTTTATTATCGTTCTTTCAAACATGCATTTAGGTTTTGTCAAATACATTTTCACTTTCATGAAATGGTATATCCCTTTGCTAAACCTAAGGTGTATCTACAAGAAAGAACAGACATTGTTTGAATAATGGCTTTAGTGGTTTGTATACAGAAATCTGACTTGTTTTATCTACACAGCTTAGTCAAATGAGGTTAACATTTAGCGGTCTGTGGTGAGATGGATGGGGTCAATGGAGCTTGGTTTCCAAGTGAGCTGCTAGCAGTAACTTGGGTTTCAGTTGGGCTTTAGCAAAATATAATATAGATGTTCTAGACTTAATCAAATCACCGTCGGGTTATGGCTGCTTCAGGAAGCACATTAATTTACTCTTATTTTTATTAAATGGATAAGCACGTCATTGATTCACCTCATAAGGACCTGAATAAATTGCTTTTTTCTAAATTTCTTATAACAATATTGATATTCTTTGGTATTAAATAACATGACAGAGTTTTACATAGCTTTTCAAAACTGGGAGTCCTGGGGACTCAGGGCATATTTTTTTGAGAGTCCATTTCGAAATTTGGGAGTCCATCAATGATCATGGATGCTTCCCAATTGATAATGATTATGCTATAATATGTATTAGTTTCAATGTCATTAGAATAATGATTGTAAACAGAATGTTTATATTTTAATATGGGATATCATTACAAAGTCATAAAGTTCTTTCCCAGAAGAAAATTATATTGCGTCCACATGGACACACATGATTTTAGTTTGGGGGTACATCATCAAATTTCTGCGTCCAATATGCAGGAATCATGCATCCCGTAAAACCCTGACATGACCCATAGCCTATTTGCTGATGCTAACTTGTTTTCATCACTGAGTTAAAGAAAGCTGGTACTTATGAGTCACTGTCAAGACTAGTAAAGCTGTTGGTAGACACTTTATGCTCACTGGAAACTGAGAGTGAAAGTTGTATGAGCATGGCGACAGGAACAGTGTTAATCATATTTGTATTATGTATGTTTTCACTACACAATCACTTTTTGAAAGAAGTATTCACGTCAGGGGTATAACATGTTCGTTATGGCTGGCTGACTGTACCTGCCGACCTGATTTCAGGAAATTTGATGACTCAAAACTTCCATCCTGCTACTTGTCACAGGAATTCTGGTGTGTCCATCGCGTAGGGTAATACTGGTGTAAGGCTTAATTTATGAGTTTATCAAGATGGGTTCTTCAGGTGTAGACTTAATGTAGGATGTCTGGTCGCTTTCATGCTGTCAGGAGCTCTTTGTTCTAATATGGTTCAGTATTTCACCCACAAAGAGGCTTTTGTCATAAATTCCAACACAAGAGTAAAGCCAAGGGGATTGTCTTCAGCTGTGGCTGGTTGTTTTACATCAATAGTTGTAGGACAAAGAAGCGTACCCATTCACTTATTCAAGTTATTATTTCATGAACTATTTAAAGGTGAAATTATCTGATACATAATACAAATATGATCAAAGGTGAAATGTTTGGATATCACATTCTCAGGGAATAGAGGGGAACTTATGGTATGAAAGTGTATTAAATTAATGACTTCTCAAGTGCTGTCTAAATACCTTGGAGGTAACATGTTTATCAAAAGAAATACTTCAAGAATGAGTGTGATTTAAAGTTGCCTTTTCCCCCATAGTAGCAATATCAGAGGAGGTTACTCAAAGAAAAACCCTCACACATTGTACCCAATTATGAAATCAACCCAGGCCTTTGCTGTGACAAGCAAACGCTTAAACCACTAAGCTACCCTCACATTCCTAACTGGGGGAGCAGATCTCTGAAATAATTTCTATGCTGTATCATCAATTTTCTTTGCCTAAATCAATTGTCACACTCAAGGTCAGTAGGAATGCTTCAAAGAGATGTTTAAATGCTTCAGGGATATGTTTTGTATTGTAAGAATGTGCAAAATTGTTTTCAAGTTTTTGCGAGTCAAGGCCTTTGGTAGGTCATATCTTCAAAACAGTGTTGAATGAAATTAATGTTGTGTGAAGAGCATACAACATTTGATGAATTGCATACACAGTGTAGTGCTGCTCCCATTAGTTGTATATACCTGCAGGCTGTTTTTCCCTCTATGAGTGGCTCGTATGACATTAAAGGCTAGGCAGGATCAAGTCAGGTCTTCATGTTTGTCGTTCCAATGAAGTAACCTCATCACAAGTTAGCAAAGCTGAGAGGGAAATTAGAATAAAATATTTGCGCATGTGAATGCATAAGTGCTGCATATGAAAATTGGATTAGATTTGCCATGTGTTGAGGAAGTGAGACCAAGTGGCCATGGAAAGAGAATGCAACATGGTTATTTTTGTCTAGGTCTGTGTGACACTAAAGCTTGTATATACATTATGGTCACAGGGGCTGGTAATGTTAAACCGAGCATCAAGGTATATATTTTCAGTAATGGGGTGTTAGCACTACATAACAGGATATAGTTCTAAGATCCCATCAGGGACAGTATATAGCTGGATGGTAGGTTTTAACATTACAAGCTCCTGGGATCATGGTGAAATGAATATTTGCTCAAAATTTAGAAGGCTAGTCTTTTTGTATGGTATTTGAATCTAAGGACCCCTAAATCTTAAGGTTCTCAGACCCATTAATTGTATTCCTTGATTAAATCACTGTGTACTTGTCTGAAGCTAATGGTGGGAAATTGACTGGTGCTGACTTACATCAGGTAGTTCTTGCTATGTTGTTGTCAAAGGTCCACCAGTTGCGTGAGACATGCATTCACCACACCATATAAGAGGATTGTTATGAATCTTTAACTAAGCCAAGGTAATTATTTGTAGCATTGATTGTGTGGGTACATTCCTGGAAGATTGTCCTAGATGTCCGTGTTGCTTCTCATCACCATTAGAGTTTTACAAGGTAGATAATAGTATTGGTTCATTAGATTCAAAGGCAGATAACACAGGGCAATCTTAGTGATCCGAATGGTGTTTCAAGTAACAGGACATTGTGGTTAATGTGACTTGTTAGTATAATTGGCATTGAAATTAATATGATAGTGACACTTGTCAAAGTCATTGTGAAATATACAGTCAGACACTTTTGTAGAATATCGGACTGTTGTCCTTGATTTGTCAGAGGGTCAGACACTTTCGTGAACACTGTCTTGGTCTGTTTTTCGTTTGCTGTACTGACCTTGTCAGTCTGAAGGGATCAGTTTTATCTGTTCCATTCATGAAGCCGTGAGAAATGTTAAGGCGTGGATATTCTTTGCCCCACTATTGATTGTTAAGAGTACCATTAATGACTTGTCTCCAGTGTCATCGTGTGAGATACAATCATTCTGAATTGCGTGTTTCTTATAGCAGTGCACCTTCCTCCATGTTGTCAGACCCGTGAAGATTCGGGTTAGTATTCGTCTTCAGTAGCCCATGCTTGTCGTAAGAGGCGACTAACGGGATTGGGTGGTCCAGCTTACTGATTCGGTTGACCCGTGTCATCACATCCCAATTGTGTATATAGATGCTCATGATGTTGATCACTGGATAATCTGGTCCAGATTCGATTATTTACTGACCGCCGCCATATAGCTGAAATATTGCTGAGTGTGGCGTAGAACTAAACTCACTCACTCTTATAGCAGTCCACTTTCCTTCATGTTGTCAGTGTTGGGTAATCAGTCAGAGTCTGTATATATCCTCTCCTTGGGTGACTGCAGGGTTCAGTGGAAACTAATTAACAAAAAGGATTGTGCACAAGATACAATGAAACTTAAGTCTGATGCTAATGATAGTCTTCAACAAGCTGTTTGAGTTTTGAGCCTTCCAATGGGAGCAAGGGTCAAGGCCAAGTGTATATCATTGTTATGATTCACGTTGACTATCAGTATACCATACTCAGTGTATTAAGTGCCCTACTCTAAAAAGCCTCCCTTTGACCAGTTTCTTGACTAATCTGCAAGTAATCGTCTTAAGCACGCATTACTAGGATAGTCCTTGTTTTCTTTCTTTAATATTTTCAAAAATATTTCAGTGGAGAATGGGTGTATTATTATTTTGCAACTTTTATCAGAAAAATTAAGTAGTGTCTTAATCTCTGACAATAAATTGAACTTGTGAAGGGTTCTGCACCCCACTTTTGTCAGTT